ATTATTTGGCTGAATGTTTAATGATTTATTTAAATCCACAAGTGCTTCTTCTAACCTTCCTAGCATACGAAATACCGCACCACGACTTCCTAGCGTAACTGCATCATCTTTATTTATACTCAAAGATCTATTTAAATATTCAAGCGCCTTTTTATTATTTCCCTGCTCTCGATGTAATTCCCCACGATTTCTTGATACAATAGGATCATTTCGATCTAGTTTTAATAAGTATTCAAATGCCTCATCATGATTTCCCATATTACGACATACTTCCACAATATTTGTTAATGCAAATTCATTATTCGGATCAAATTGTAACGATTTTCTAAAGTCTTCAAAAGCCTCTTTATATTCGCCCCTTTTTCGGTATGCTTCTCCACGAGCTCTTAATGCACGTGCGTTATTTGGATCAAAATTTAATGACTCGTTTAAATCCTTAAGTGCCTCTTCATAATGTTCTTTAATTAGATATATTTTACTTCGATCTACAAATATATCATTTCTTTCTGTAATTAACAGCTTATTAAAGTGAAAAGTCAATTCACTATTGTTAGAAACTTCATTATTTGAATCTAATGCTTCATTGAAATCATTAAGACTTTTATCATATTCCTCCATAGATGAATATGTTTTTCCACGCCATCCTAATGCTAATCTATTATTCGGAAGTATATTTAATACTTTGTCAAAGTCATTCAATGCGTTCGGAAATAATTTTTTTTTGTGAAAAGAAATTCCTCTAATTCCTAATGCAACTGCATTTTTATCATCATTTTTTATAGCTTGGGTGCAACTTTTTATTGCTTTTTTAAATTTCTTATATATTTTAAAAAAAACATATCCTGAAATTGTCGAATCATCCAATGAATAAAGTTTAACTGGCAATGAATTTCCCAGCCCAAATATCAATTTCCTTGGTTTGGCCATTGTTAATAATGAAACTATTGACATTGGGTTGAGCTTATTTCTTTTAATTATTTTACTGAATTCCGTATTCTCCATCTTGTTCAATATCATTAATTTGTATAAAAATGCATCTCTGTTGTTTGGCTCAAATTTTTGTACAGATTCAAAATCTTTCAGTGCTTCGACATTACTATTGTGATGTAGATATATTTTGCCCCTACATATGTAGGCTAATGAATCTTTTGGTTTCAAATGAATTGCCGATGTTAATATATTTCGAGCTTTCACATGCAGTTTAATAGCAATTTCCCGATCTACCTTTAATCCAAGTTCCCAAATTGCATTCGCTTTCTTACATCGAACTGAATAATCATAACTTTTGGGATAAAATTGCATTATTTTATCCAAGTAAAATATAACATCTGAATAGTTTTGCTCTTTTTCTGCATCTTTTGCTTTTTTAAATAATTTAGACTTTGGAAGAATATTTGATATTTGTCGCTCATTTATTATATAATCATCAAAATCTTCCAATTTTTCATAAAAGCCTTTTATTACTGCGTTTGACGTAAAATTATATATTAATTTTGGGTCGATGCTAGTTTGGCAGAAAGGGCATCTTTCCTGATTGATGATTGTTAGACGGCTAATGACATGCTTGCATTCTAATTCAAGAAAATCACCAATAAGTTTTTTTGAATCAGCGCATATTAAATTTTCGTTAATTATATCTTTTAGCAGCTCAATTATATTTTCGGTTAAATTTTTCTTTAGAAAAATAGAGACATAATAATCTTTTGATTTAATAAATTTAGCGTCCAATTGAAGTTTTCGATACACAATATCGACCAGCGACTTAAATTGTAAACCACAAAATTCACTGATTTTTCCTTTTATTTCATCTTGAAACGGTTTTGGTTCCTTAAGCGATAAAGATAAAAGCATTTCTAGAGACTTAAACTTAATATAGACGCATTGGGATTTTCGTAAAGACTCTAAACCCAAATAGTAACAGGCAGCTATAATAGCGGGTTGCGATGTTGTATGGCATATGTCTTGAGCAAGATCTAGTGTGCCAAACCATAAGGAATTAAGTGAAAAACTTAATCCTTTTTTTTTGTTAAAATTGTACAAAAATGCCTCTTCGTCATTTAAGATTTCTTCAGAAAGGTTTGTTACTGGCATGGCTTGATCAGAAATTTGACCAAAAATATATTGCCAAAGGAATTCAAGAAGATAAGCTTCTTTATGACTTTCGGAAAATTTGTTGTTTAGTTGTTTGGTTGAAATTTCTAATGAACGACGTACATTTAAGAGATCGCGCCATTGTTTGTACCATCCAGTAAGACAATTGAAATCCTTGATCTTCTGTAAAAATTTCAATGCATTCTGTGGCATTGAAACACCTGCATGAACGGTTATTTCAAATTTTTCTAAGGATTGTTTTTGTCCGTAAACACGAATACTTTGTAAGGTATCGCGTAAATGAATTAATAAGAAATTTATGTTATAGTTTTGACAATGATCTATTATACGATAATAAAGATTAATATAAGTTCTCATGTTGCTAAGAAGCTTATCGCGGAATTCATGTTGCAAAGCAACCAAGTAATATATTGCTTCTAAAGTTGTCTTTAAAGTTCGGAGGCGTAATTCGAGATAAGAAACGTCAACATCATGTTTTTTATAAATTTTATATTCAGGAGCAACACTAAGTAACTCAAGTGCATCTATCAACAATTGCAAATTTTTAGCTTCATCAACTTCAAACCAAAGTTTAAGTTTTTCAACACAAGCACCTTTAATCCAAAAGTTAAATTGGATTAAATTAAGTGAATCATCGAGTTTTTTAATGTCGAAGGGAAAATTTGACTGTAGATTAATATATATTAATATTAAAAATATTAATTTAAAGTTTATGCAACCTATGCAACATGTGGGAGTTCAATAGAAATCAGAAAATTTATAATCCCTTCAAATCAATTTAATAGGGTATCTTTTCATGAACATGAAAATTTTCAAAACCATACGTCAAAGTATCAAAAATTTTAAATTTAAATTTTAGACACACAATCTCGGTCCTTTTTGACTGTTAAAAACCCCAATAGTACTCTGCAAAATCAAATTTTGAATCAAATATTTGATCAAATTTTTAAAAAATTTGATCAAATATTTGATTCAAATTCAAATTTTGATTTGATTTTGCGGAGTGCTACCCCCCAATTCGTAATTTACGATCCTGGAAAGTTATTGTAGAGAATTATAGGGTTTCGCAAAAAGCGTGACCTTGTGATTTCCTGATAGGAAATTTCTGAAATCTTTCACAACAGTTCGAAAAGTGTGTGAAGATTTTCATACATCCATATAGGAAATTGATCTGCGACTGTTTCTTTTGCGGAGATCACATAGAAATTGTCGAGATAATGAATTGTCTGGGATAGATGGGACGGCTTTAGTATGAATTTGTCATCATTTTCTATTAAACAGAAAAATGATAACCAAATTGCTATACACGAAAAATCGTCCTATATGTGTGTGCCGTCATGGAAATCAATAAATCTTCATTTATTAATTTATTATAGAGATAGTCACGTTATTCTACAAGTTCATGACTCGATTCGTTCACATATTGAGTCTGGTCGCTCGTTTAAGTTAAATATTTCGATGATTCCGGGAAAAAATGAACTTGACTCACTTTGAGTCGAATCGAGTCGATTCAAGTCGCCCCTATTTATAGTAAACTCTTTTAAAATTTGAGATTTTATAACGCTTGACCCTCGTTAATATCTACTTCGTTAATATCAATCTACTATAAACAAATTTTATATATTACTGTAAAATGTATCGCAATTTTCGATTTAGTTGAACAGATTTTTCTGAATCCCGTGAATCCCGTGAATTCCACGATTATATTATAGGTACATTGCTACTTTTTATTCGTCGTGTCCTGTGGAATTTCATTTAACAGTTGGCGATCATTTCTTATTTATTCACAGATTTTCTTTTTACAGGCTCCCTTACTAGCGATATACCATGAATACACAAATGAAATCAGGCAAATTTTTCTTTTTGTAATGATTTCTCAACAACCATCCATTTAAATTCAATGAACCTTTATTATTTTAATTCTATGATGTAGAATTGAAATAAAAAAACAATTTATCGAATTTGGATTGGTAGATGCTGAGAAATATTGATCAAAAGTTAAAAAAGATTTAGCCGCAGTTCTTTTTTCAGACGTCCAAACTTTGAACGAGGATTACTCAGCACTCACCTGACTAAAATCGATCACAATTTTTTATTTTAATCCTAGAAATAAAATAAAAATTCGATCAATTTGGTCAGGTGAGTGCTGAGTAATCTTCGTTCAAAGTTGTGAGTCTGTAAAAAAGAAGTTGCGGCCAAATTTTTTTTAGATTTTTGGTCAATAATTCTCAGAAATTACCTATCCAAATTTGATAAAATATTTTTCATCGAATTTGGATGAATCATTATTAAGAAATTATCAATTAAAGCCTTTTAATTTAGCAACAATTTCTTTTTTACAAACACCAAAAATTTGAACGAAGATTACTCGGTACTCACCTGACCCAATTCGATCAAAATTGTTTTATTTTAATTCTATAGATACATAGAATTATAATAAAAAACTTTGATCGAATTTGGTCAGGTGAGTGCCGAGTAATCTTCGTCCAAAGTTTGGGCGTCTGTAAAAAAGAAACTGCGACTAAACCTTTTTTTAATTTTTCTCAACAACTACCTATCCAAATTCGATAATTTTTTTTTATTTCAATTCTACAACCTCATAGAATTAAAAAAAAAAAAAAAAAAAAAAAAACATTGAATTTAAATGGACGGTCGTTGAGAAATCATTAAAAAAGAAAAAACTTGCCTGAGTTTACTTGTATTCATGATATATCGCTAGTAAGGGAGCCTGTAAAAAGAAAATCTTTGAATAAATAAGGAATAATCACTAATTGTTAAATGAATTCCATGGAATACGACGAATAAAAGGTAGCTACGTACAGTACCTATAATGTAATCGACGGGATTTACGGGATTCAGAAAAAATGATCTGCAAAATTGTTCAACTAAATCTAAGTGTTAATCAACATGGATTAAAATCACTCCAAATGGATTGATATTAATGGGTCAAATGAACTAGTAAATTACTCATATATCCCAAATTTTGAAATAGTTTATAGCAAATATGGGGTTTTTTTTTTGCTTATTACTTAAAAAATTGAAAAAT